ACTGTCATTCCACTTTTTGATCAAAATTTTAGTCCGAAAATTTCGAGAGAGAGAGAGAGATAAAGAGGTTGTGTATATGTGTGGGGGTGTGTGTGTGTGTGACGGTATTTAATTTTAAATAAAATTACTTAATTTCTAAGCGACGTTTAATAATAATGTTACTTAATTTTTCAAAATTTTAATAGAGAAGACCGAAAAGAAGACAATGCATGCGTAACGATATTTAATTTTTAATAAGGTTACTTAATTTTTATTAACGTTAATAGTAATGTAATTTTCAATAACTTTAATGATAACATAACATAACATTGCTGCAAAAGTTAACTTTAAAATTCAGTAACGTTACTAAAAATTAAGTTAATGACGTTACTGTTACACCAAGATACCGATCCAAGAACATCGCTATCATTTGAAGAAATCGATAACATAAGAAGATGCTATTTGCGAATCATAATATATATCTAAATCGTTGCCATTGTCGACCTTTATCCTGTTCGGTTATCGCGATATCCCAAAATAATATCTACGGGACGCTCCTCAGATAAAGTGTGCTGTGCAGGCAGATTCTGTACGACACACTTCATTAGCTACGGAACACCTGAAGATGAATTTAAGACGGCCTTAAATACAAAATCCGTCTAAATATCCGTTGTTAAACATAAAATCTACGAAGGCCAGCCTATAAATATCAGCCTATGATGATTATAATTGCAAATACCAGATATTTTTCTCTCAGTGGGGATCGCTCGCGCGACATTTGAGAAAATACGGCTTGCGGAAGTTCGTTGGACTCGGCAACGTAGGTCGGTTCTTCGTCATCCTCGCGAGCTTTCCGGAAACCGTGGTACGCCGTTAACTCGAAGTTCTCATTCAGCAGATCGATATCGATCGTGGAGCTGAGGCACATCACGCCCGCTGCCGAGCCGTCGACGTCCTCGCCGATAATCAGCTGCCGACAGCCGTCCGGGTAACGAATCATCTCGCTGATGTAGTACTCCCCGTAGAGTTCTTTCAGCCGCGTCGTCTCGCCGTCGATAATCGGCACCACATCGTCGTTATCCTCTTCTCTGCATCCGTTATTATCTCCAATAAAAGCGTTGTACAAAATCCACGCAGGTTTTGTGCAAAAAAAAATCAGTTCCTCCGGCCGAACGGGTACCGGATGAAAACTCAGTGACAAGAGATGAAGAGTCAATAGGAAGAAAATGTTTCTATCACCACGACTGAGAACATTTGGTTTCCAGCAGTTCTGTATGTAAATATTTTTTAATGTTAAATATAATTTTACCGTTAACACACAGTAAAAATAGCTCAGAAAAGGATTTCGCATTCAATTAATTCCTGTAGATATCCGTAGCAACAAGTAAAATTTCATCGGCTTCTCACAAGTTCAAGCCTTCCCGCTTCCCTCAAAACCCGTAGAGACAGCTGAGAGCTGTTTTATTAATTAACCGAAACTTCCTATAGGAATCTTTCTGTTCCCGCGAAACCGAGCTTTGGTCTGGTCCCAACGGAAAGTTCAGTCACACTGAGGGAATCATTTCTTCCGTGTGCGAGAAGTAAAGGTTGAAGGACTGCCGAATCGACTGGCGATTAAGGCTCGAGGCGGAAATTCGATCTGATTCTCACACAATTTTCCGTATCTTTAACTTTGGAAGGAGCCGACTGCGGTCGCTCAGGTACAAATATTGCGCCTCCTTGGCATGTCGGGCGCACTTAGCCGGGATCTTGGTCATCTCTCGTTTGAACACGTCCGCTGGAAAATTATACGAGACTCTTCTAGCGAGCTGCCTCATCTCGTGGCGCGCCATTCGCGGGAAGAACGATAGGAGAGGTCACCTGGCGTAACCCGAGGAGGTATCACGAGGATCACGTGCTGGCAATAGCTGGTGATATCGAAGAGGGCGGTCAGAAGGTCCTTGAGGAAGTGACCCGAGTAACTCTTGTCCCACACCAGCCAGTGTACGAACAGCGTGTTCCTTCCTGTTACGGAGCGTATCCTTTTCGGGAATCATGTTACTTCGATAAATCGACTTGTCGCAGCGATTTCTTCAGCTGGTCCTTTCCGGACAGCATAAATATCTAAAGTACGCCTCAAGCCCGTATCAACAGTGATTATTAGAGACTTGTCACAAGTGAGATATTCGGATTCGAATTTGCTGGTAGATTTGAACTTTCCTGAGTTGAATTATACGATATGTGTCAAGTTATATTTGCAATCGCGACTCGAGAAATCACACCATCTGAATTTAAATCTGTACGGTAGAAAAAGTTTAATTGAATTTACTCGGTTGAATGAACAAGCCAAATGCGTTTTAGTTGAAAAAGAAAAGAGAGAATTTTTCCTGTTCCTGTAAATCAAATTCGGTTTTTACAGTATAGGATTCTGTTTTCTTTCAGAAAAACATGTTTAATTTGTTCATTGTCAGATAAATTCAACAAAACATTTTCCGTGTGTGTACTCTCCAAATTTCTCAGAGTGAAATTTCACGCAGAACATGTGAAAAATGCCAGTATTTTCACTCAAA